GACGATTGGCAAATTCCTCAACAAGTACCTGAGGCCCTCCCCCCACTCCATACCTCTCTAGAGAAGCCGTATGGTTTCCTGGACATGCATTCCGGGTACCTGCGTCACGCAGCGCACACTGAAAACGAGGTGAATGAGCTTGGGCCCAACGCTGAGACTTGCCCGAAGGAGGAGCGAGCCAGGCTAAGGATGGAGCATGAGGAGAAAAAGTGGGACCCAGAACATTACATGTTAGCCTCTACGACCTTCCTTCGCGACCTTGGCTAATGCGCTGTGACCCTAGGGCAGATTATGCGGATGATGAATACATTCAAGAGCTCTTGGCCTGGAAGCACCCGTATATCAGTGCCGAGGGACCGGTCGAATACACCGAAGAAGAAAACTTGGAGATCCTCCGGCTTCCTCGAAAAGAATGTTAGTTCGATATCGTCAAATCATCGCCTCTATGTTACTTACCATCTGTCAATGCAGACCTCGCAACTGAGAAGCAAACGAAACAGCTCTATCTGACGCTGACCACCCTTCTCTTCGCTTATGCCTACGAATCAAGGACAAACCAGCTCGATCCTACCCCAGAGAGCGCATGGACTCTGTGTACCCTTACACCAGCCTTCTCAGCTCTTGATCCACCCAATCCTAGTGGCACCACCCGGACATTTTCTCAAGAGGAACTGGTGCAAGCGCTCATCCCTTCCTACCGTCGCTCTTTGGCCTTCCCACTCTACCGCTCTTGGGCTCTGGCAGAGAAATGCCGGATCGATGCCGCCCAGCTGCTAGCGATGGGGAAGCGGACGGTGATGAGGTGCCTGCTGGATGTGAAGCGAATACTGGACCATCATGAAGTGTACTACGTCTATTCAAAGGTCTGGGTGGACGATTTCTGCGTATGGGCTCAGGCCTATGCAGAGTGAGTTATTCTCGTCCCCTTCGCTGTTTCGCGTCACCAAGAATACTGACAATACCTTCAAGCGATGGTCGTCTCAAGGATCTAGGGCAGGCCCTTCAAAGTCTCAGGATGGAGAAGGGTGCCATTGGATGGCCACTCGAAGAGTTGGAAGAGGCGACGGAAGATGTTGAGGAGAGGGAAAGCGATAGTGATGACGAGTGATTATGGGAAGGCATTGCGGTGGGCGATTAGAGGATCTCGAGTCGCTGGCTCGTAGGTTCAAATAGATCGTGCCTTATGTCGAGGTCCTGTGGGGCTAGAATTAGCCGGTGCTGGCCGCAATGATATTATCGGCGTTCATTGGGAATGAACCCCTTCGATAAGACTTCCTTGCCGCAGGTGTGATGCTATCCTACTCCCGTGGTTAGTCCACTCCTATTCGTGAAGTCTGGTGGGTGAAGCTTGAAGGTCGGACATGTGTGAAGAACAGCTTGAACTAATGACTTCACATCAGTATATGCGTGGGTGTACATACCCACTCAAGGCATCAGCTCATTGGATGTATGCTATCAATGTGCGCTATTAAACTGACGCGAAAGGAAAGCAGCTCGCGGGGGTCACTACAGCAGTTCATGTATCTATGTAAGCTCAGTGCGATTGTGATTATCAAGGAAGCGAAAGTTGCACCCAAGCGCAAACTCGCGTTGAACTTGACTGCAGGCATTGGGGTAACATTTGGTGGTAGCGGTTGAGTGATCTCATGCCCTCGGGCGTTGTTGTTAGCAGAAGTAGGGATGATGATGTCTGCTTTTCAAGGCCCTAGATGCCCGACCACTCCGTCTCAAAACCCAGCGCTTGATCTCCGAATTGGCCGCAATGGTCAATGATGGGCGGTCGTCCCCTAAATCTCAACTTGACCGCTAACCATCATGTCGAAAAGGCCTTCCAGGAGCGCAAAGCGTGTTGGAATGCGCGCTAAATCTCGGGTGGAAGAGTCTGGCGAGGTCCTGAAACCTCTTGCACGCCCATCCCGCCTTCAGCTGTCGCCGTTCGTCAATGTCCCTTTGGAGATACTATATGAGGCGAGCAAGGCGCTGCTGTACAATCTATGTAGAGATCAGAAACTTACACACCTCGATGTTTCCAGTTTTGTGGCCACCTACAGCCTCTCGACTTGCTTCACCTTGCGAGAACTTCTTCTTCTCTACGCCAGGCTATTTTGAGCAAAGCAGCAAAGCAGCTGTGGATTCGTTCTTTCAGTGATCTGAAGCAAAAGGGCTTCCCGGACTGCCCTGCAGACTTGTCTGAGCCTCAGTATGTGAATCTTGTGCTATCGGTCTACTGCCATGTAAGTTTGGCCGAATGCGGGGGTATTATCGCGTCCTACCTCTAACATCCCATTCTCAGAATTGCTTACGGGACGATGGCGATACCACGTACTACCTCATCATCCTGGGCCGTACGCGGCTTTGCTTTAACTGTGCTCGAAAGAGGTGTGTATCTGTCGCGAGTCACTGTGTTCCAGCTTCGAAAGTTAATTGTCCCAAGTTATGTGCCCTTGAACATAGGACGACGAGGGCCAAAGTTATCTCCTCCGGAAATCTTGAGATACATCCCTTATACTGAGTTGACATTTACGTCATGTAAGTGCGACGCATTCATTTCTGTCTATAGAGCTACTTTGACCAACGTTTCATGTCAAGCCTCTCCAAGCCAGGTTTCACCCCATGATCTTTTCGGGTCACAGGTTCGCTTTCGCGACCGCAAGTACAGCGTGAACGACATACGGGCTATGACTCAGGAGTATAGGGCACTGGGAAAGGATCACATGAAAAGGAGGCATGGAGGAAGGCCCATGAAGAACGCCGTCAGATCCTCTCGTCGCATGCAACGGCATGGGCTGTGTATGAGATAGTCTGGCTTCGGGACCAGCAAGAGGCTAAACAGGCACTTACAGACGCCCGCATAGTAAGGTTGGTCGGTCGGTCGTACTCATATGTTGCACTTGACACTCACATGGAGCCTTGGCTTCAAGTACTCGCCAGAAGTTAGTCGATGCAGGTTGGGAAGAGGAGCTCGTATTCCTCGAAACCTTTGCTCAACCAACAACATCACTTGGCTGTGGACAATTTCATTGGAGGAAATTTGAGGGAGTCGCCAAGCCAGCGCTATTGACTGAAGAAGGTGAGGATGCGTCTTCCCGTAAAACCCAGAACAACCCTGATGTATCTCAGAGTGGCGAAAGCTACACATCGATCTAGAGCCATGGTTCAAAGGGACCCGCGAGGAGCGACTATATCAAGAGAAAGCGTCGGCTGTCAAAGCACGAATCCAAGAACACGTTGAACCCATATACCGCGACTTCATTCTATCTAAGTCGGATGATGATCCTTTTCCAAGCATCGCTGAAGTATGCCTCATTCCAGAGTTCTGCACCCTTCTCGAAGAAGTTACCGTCGAAGTGACTCGGAGTATGCTCGACACCGCAGCCGCCGCTCTTTCTGACTTCGTTCAAGAGTGGCGGCGCGACAGGAAAGAAGAGCTACTCAAGATCATGCGCAAGTCGAACGCCTACTCCTCGTCGAAGCTATCTCCGGCTGCCGAGTCTCTACGCTGTGCTTCAACAATCTTCAAATGTGACCTTCGCGATGCGAAAACGCATCGCGAACCTTGCACCATTGCCTATCCTGAAGTCCTGGTTCACCCCTGTTGGCTGGTGCGGGCGTCTGTCCTCCAACTGCCTCGCCCAAGGCCCGCAGACGGCCCGCAGAAGGGTCACGGAGTCATTTGGAAGAAGGCAAAAGACCAGAGGGCGGGGATTTCGACAACCCCAAAGCCACCACCAAAGGCTGGGGATTTGATTCGTATTGCCCTTGCCGACCACCTTGTCTTCGTACCCAAGGGCGTCAACTTTGGAGACGCCTCGTTCGTTCACACGGAAGCACTGCTGGAGCTATGCAAACCGCCATCGACAACGACGGTGGAAGAACTACCAAAGGCGGATCCACATGTCGTAACGAAGTGTGGATGCTTCTCTCCTGATCTTCTGCTTCGTTGGGCATCGGCTGTACGGTTCTTACGCTCGTTTCGTAAAGCTGCGAATCTAACGAATTACCGCCCTCTAGACTCGTATGACTGGCAGCAAGACCCATCATCGAAGGCCAACAGACCCTAAACGCATCTTTTCACTACCCTCCGAGCAATACCACGCGATGATTCAGGGGATGCAGACTTCCCGGCGTGACAATCGGGATAGAGAATCTCAATACTACTGCGTTCTTTGCAGTCAACTCGTTCCTAACACCAACGGTGTTGATCATTTCAGAGTACGGTCAGTGGTTAATGTGGCGCATTGCCCCGGAAATGTTTCTAACTGCTTGAAACAGGCACAAAATGTCGACTGAGGCCGCGGCCCAGTTTCTTTCCAGGACCTTGGTGGGCCCAGTCAAGACTCCAGACGTCTCCCATCACCAGAAAATGCTGTTTCCCGGACAGGGCTATCTCTGCGGCTGAGATTAAGTCCCTAATGCCATGGCCGCGATGATGGTACCCTGTTTTCCCTTTCATGTTGCATTTCGATGTTGCTCTCGCTCTCATTTTCGCTCATTTCGATGTACACGTAACAGCTATCAAGCTGCAAGCTGAGTTGCCCTATCTGCGTGATTTCAATATTGGAAGAGGATTGAGTAATACATACATGATATGCTACACCACACAAGGCGCGTGCATTCTGTTTGCACACCACTGTTGCTAGCTGCGCCTCTTTGCGCTCGCAACCCGACTCGGAACGGAGCTCGCAGTTGGTTCACGTTTTTATTCAACCGTCATAGCTCATGAGGCATGCAACCTTCGTGCAGCCTATCCCAGCCATAGACCCATGTCCTCTCGAGGCTACAACAACGCGAAGGTTTCACCCAAATCAGGGGGTTAACGATGCCAAGTCAGCGATCGCGGCGCTTACGCAATACAGCTGACCACCACCCTCGGAATGGCTTTTGCCATTGAAAGAACGTCAAGGATAATTGTCGAAGCGGTTGTCTGAATGCAGTGAGTACCACTTGGATTCGCCACGGTATGTTCAATTGATAATATCAAAAGAATTACAGTTGTCATGTGCCCCATGGCTGAGTTGGTTACAGCGTCCGACTGTTACGATGTTCTGCCCCTCATTCGAGGCTGGAACACCCAGATAGCAATCGGAAGGTCGAGAGTTCGAGCCTCTCTGGGGCAGGAAGCTTTTTGTTGGTTGTTAGGACCACTGTTTTGCCGATATTTCGCCATAATTCCACAGGGAAGTCGGTACATACTTTGGTTCCCACGCCATCCTCAGGCGACGGGTCGTGGCTTCACTGACAGGGAATCGCCGCTCGGATAATCCATACCTACAAGGTTAGTCAAAGATACACGCCCCATCTCCCACAAATATGGTCAGAAGAAACCAGCACGTTGCGTTTGACACTGCCAAACCATCGTATCTGGTACCAGCAGATGAAGCGTGGCGTCTGCGCGTTATGAAAGACCCAGCCGGTAAATCGAGCTGGTCAACCGGCAGCCTAGCCCTCCTGTTTCCTTCGTATTTTCTGTATCTGAACTCGAGGCCCTAAGATGGCTTGCGGGACTCCAGAGCTAGAACTATCCGGATGAGACCGTGAGTGAGGGATTCCCTTGGTAGCTATAGCTGTATGGCGTCGAGATCCGGTCAACCTCGAAGACGTCTGATGAAAATGTCTGGTTTTAGAAATTGAACTAACGAAAAAGGCAGTGAATGATGCGGGTAGACAGCGCGTTTCGCAGCACACATTCAACAAGCACGGCGGCAGGAGTATTCCGTTCAGTAAACAGATCGAGTCCGGGTTGTGCAGAGTCAACGCAGTGAAGAAAGCAATTAGCCTTGGTGAAAAAGAGTGCAGTTTACTTCACGATTTTTCCTGGGCCGCTGTGCTTTTTATAAGTGCACCTGATGGCCCGAGCTCAGCGACCAGCGCCTATCCAGGGTGAAGAGATATGCCAAACTGTTGTCTGCGACAACGTATGGTACTATGAGATGTAAGTTAAAGAATATGATCACTGCAGTATAATCACGTGCGACCTCACATGGAAGTTGGAAGTCTAAAATTATAGAGGCTACCCCCAGAATGAAGTGGACACAGTCTTCCAGAGGTAATAAGAGCATGGGTAGTCAGATTGCGCCCAATGGAGACCAATCTGCTAACTCGTGTACTCTCAACTTTTACGCACGGATTATGTGTCGAGGTCGAATTTGATAGCTTGGTATTGAGAATTATCACACGCCTCGAGGTACATGATACTAACAGCGTTGACCCCTCGTGCATCACCGCCTGGCCTTTCAACTGTCGATACTCGGGCCCACCTTTCAGAAGACGCTGGCCATCCGATATCACCGTTTGCTAGGCCAAGGAGCGCTGAGGAGCGCCGAGAGTTGTGGTCGACATTATTCTCCCGCCGTTTGGCCAGCGAAACAACTATGATGGTCTCTATGCGCCAACAAATATCCTCAAATGATAGGGCCACAAGTATATATAAAGGCCAACTAATGAGCGTCGAATATATCACCACAAGCATTGCGGATTTGAAGAACCACCAACCACACCATGCAACTCGCTCAACTCTTCCTACTTGTTGCCTTTGGCTCATACAGTGCTGTTGGGTTACCTACTTCACCCATCCCCCCTCCCAAGCCCAAGAGGGATGCATCCAACTCTCGCTGGACCTACTACGACGTTCCATCTGAGCCGTAAGCTTAAAATTTCTTGCAACCGTTCCGTACGCAACCTTAGTCTTTTTAGAACCGCCTGTGGAACATTCCAGTCCAATGCTGACTTTATAGTCGCTCTGAACGCTGAAGACTTCGGAGCAGGTGACCACTGCGGGAAGACCATAACCCTGAGCCGAGATGGCAAGACTGCCAAGGCGCAGATTCAGGACATCGTAAGGCGACCGCTTTAATCTCTTCGCATACAACCTTGCTAACTTTCATTGGCTTTTGTAGTGCGTGGGATGCCCTCAAGGTGCTCTTGACCTCACCCCTAGCCTCTTTGAATTCTTCGCGCCCCTCGAAGCGGGCATCATCCAAGGGGACTGGAAGTTCGATTGAGCAATTCGGGATGGGTTTTGGGGGGTGTAATGCCTCACATTCCCCGCGCATTGAGGTTTCTTGCTATACCATCATTGACCGCAGCTCACATACTGGGCTGTACCCCGCCTATGTAGACATCTAGACACCCTTAGCAGCTCAATCATATCCTACTAATGGTGTCGTGTGCCCAAAGCCATATGCTCGGCTAATTTCACAGGGAATACTCCACATACCAGCCAATGCCCTGGCCTCACTAACAGAGAATCGAATAGCTTCGGCATCGGTAAAAACTGCCTTGGCAGCGGCGTGTGCATATCTGGTCGTCGACTGAGCGATGTGAACATGCCGCGCTTGCCCCGCGTCACAGGTGGCGGTGATACCACTGGAACACCAGTACTGCAAGTAACACCCCCCCTTTTGACTCGTCACATATCCGAACACAACTTTTCAGACGCAGTATCTGCCTGTGCTTCCCTCAGGCCTCATATTCACTTTTGCTAGCACGCGTTCCGATGTAAATTCAAACTCCGCCATCAGAAACCCCACTCTGGGACAAACGCGTTAAGACGCGTTCAAAGCGCTTCTTGCTTCCCTTCCTCTATCTCCTCTCTTCCATCGTCGACCTCGTCATCGTCGCCGTCCCCGCTGAGGTCCAACGGCGATCTCGCCTAGTCTTGACCATCCTGCCCGCCGTCGTTACCCAATCGCGACGACTAGCGTGCTTGGCATCGAGTCCAACGGTAAAGACGACCACGCCCTTCCCATCGCTACTACTTCCTGGTCACTTCCCATGTCGATTTAGCCATCGCCGTTGCTGTGCTCGTTGATCTCTTCCTTCTCTAACCCGAGCTTTCTTGGCAATACTACAAATGCCTCGCCCGTTACCGCTCGCCGATTGCGATAACCAGCCTCATACTCAACGACCAGGAAGTCAACGCCGCTTCTCTCGCTCTGTCTCATCAGCGCTGCAAGCTCGCGCGCTTGCATCTGCGGGTAATGGGAGCCGCCTTCTTTGTTTCTCGCCCAGCGCGTCATTTGTCTGCTTGGAGTCAACGGCAACACCTATGCGTGCTCCTTGCCCCGGTCGTGATTCCTCTTCTAATCGGTGCCTTGGATTGTGATTCGCCGGCCATTCTGTCTTTCTCATCTCGACCCCTGCTTGCCCAGCCAGCCCTTTCAAACCGCCTTGTCTGCCACCCCAAATCCATTCGGTATGTGCCCAAGTCGTATATACGCCTTTGGCAATATCCAGATACGCTGAATTACCGCCTATTCCCAGTTTTTGTACAAATAAGGCATCTCGGTCTTGAGCGTTTCACACCAGGTTCGCTCTCGGTGATTCTGAACCACTATCTTCTGGCCTAGTTCTCAATGTCTCTGCAGACTCCCTTCTCTTCCAACCAAGGTATGGATCATCGGGCGTGGTTCAGTGGTTATCACCTAGCTTCTCTTATAGCTTAACATAATCTCCGATGTATCCAGAGAAGCGCGGGAACAGGCAGGCTGGCAGTAAGCACTCGGGCTCTTTTCCTTGGGGTTTCGGGCCTGGCGGTAAGAAACTGAACTTTCTTTAGACTGTGAAAGAAGAGCGCAATTTACTGTATCAAAATATTCGTGACATTTCAGCAGCCACCGTACTTCTTAGAAGTTTTCCCATAGAGTGCCCTGAAGCCCGCGCTCAGCAACCAGTGCTCAGCATTGACCAAAGATGTTGGTCTGTTTGTTTGCGAGTATTAAGGTACTATGAAACCTTCCAGGCCAGATATAATCAGCACAGCTGCACGTGTAACGCGAAGGAAGAATGCAAATCCAACGGACCTCAACTCAAAGGCAGTCCCGGACTGAAAGATCATGAGGGTATGGTGGTTGATCACTCGAGTTGCTTCCAACCGAGGTCGTCCTGCCAAACGCATGTATGTCTTTTTAACCTCTACGCATTGATTGTGGGTTCAAGGTGTCGCCCATCTCTAGATATCAATAGCTTTTGCCATTCGTGCATCACGGTCCAACTTTTGAGTTTGGCGAAGTTAACATTGGCTATTTGGCCGGACCTTCACGGATAAGCTGGCCAAAAGTTGCGATAGCCCAGGACTATCACAGGATGTACATTGGTTCCCATTCCGCCGATGTGATCGTTTACTATTTCGAGACGAGCTGAGGGTTTAACGGCCAACACTCTTCTCCCGCCTGCTGATGCGATTCGATTCCCGACATCCAACAAGCAGACACCTCAAGGGAAAAGGCCACATATAAAAGTCAGGGAATAAATCCCAAACATACCAAGGGAAAATCCACCGGTTTTAAGAACCACAGGCCACACCATGCAACTCGCTCAACTCTTCCTATTTGTTGCCTTGAGCTCATATAGTGCCGTTGCGGGACCTGCTTCATTCGTCCCCGCCACTACGCTCGAGAGAAGAGTATCCAATTCCCAATGGTCTTTCTATAACGTCCAATCGCCGTAAGCTTTTAGGCCTCTTGTAACCTTCCCATATAAACCTCCAACTTTTTAGAACTGCCTGTGGAACATTCCAATCCGATAGCGACTTTATCGTTGCTTTGAACGCCCAAGACTTTGGAGGTTTTCCTGGCCGTCACTGCGGCAAGACCATCACTCTGCGCCGTAATGGAAAAACTGCCAAGGCCCAAATCCGGGACATAGTAAGGCGACTGCTTTCAGACTAAAACCTCGACTTACTTTCAACCCCCTGTAGTGCGTGACATGCCCTCAAGGTGGCCTCGAACTGACTCCTAGCCTCTTCAAAGTCTTTTCCCCCCTCGACGCGGGTACCATCTTCGGTGACTGGGAGTTCGACTGAGAAATTTAGAATGTAATTCTAAGTGTTTAATGCCTCACTGCCTCCAACCCTCGTACTGCACAAGTCTTGCCTGTGTAGATATCAAAGAAATCCTCAGGGGATGGGATGCCGTTGTATCCCCTACTTTGCGACCACTGACCAGAACCACTTCTCGTGTCTCCATAAGGTCAGTACCTCGAAACTTACAGGGCCCGATTGACCGGTGTATCCGGGCGCGTGATTGGAGTCAGGGGTTGGCCTAATTATAACCACAGTAAGCGCCAAAGATCAACGGCTCTAAGTATTTCAACATTGAACCTCTTCATCCCGACCTCA